CAGGGCGATTGCCCTGTTTGCTATCCCCTAATGCCGGACCTGGCTTTTATATGCAGAAAAACAGTTGTTGCACAGGTGGGCCGTGGAGTTTTTATAGCGTGTTGCGGAGGGAGGGATGAGAAAGAGAAAGGTTGAGAGCCCCTGGTGTAAAAGATCATTTTGATAGCTTGAGCATTGTTGAAAGGTTGCAGTATTGTTGAGGTTCCCCCTCAGGCGCTGTTCATTCTGCTATTGGTGAGCTTCTGAAAGGACACTGGCCATTGAAGACTCATTCTTCTCAATTAATGAGAGGCACAACAGATCTTTCACGTAACCCGTTTCTCTGTTTTTGAAAGGGGCTGAATTTTCTTATAACAATATAGTTATATCTGCTAAGATGACAATAAGTGCATCTCATGCTTCAGGGCATAGTCATGTTCCAGGTTGGCAGGGAATTCTTCTCTCACCCTATCCATTACAGACATTTCAACTTCCTCTCATTATCCGCCAGTAACGGCCACAGGTCACGGCAGTACTCAGGTTCTGACAGGCTGATGAGCGTATAGGGTATAGAGGATCCTTTGCTCCTACACTCATCTCTCAAAATGTGCAAGAAATATTTCCAAGAGTGGAGCTGTCATCTTCCCAAACCACAGCGTGTAACTATACTGAGCCACATGGTCTGCATAAATAAAGCATGGAGTTCAGATCAGTCCCTTTTTATTGCAAGTGCTAAGAAAAAAATAAAACTGCCTCCGATGTAATGTACCCCTCATTATTTCTGCTGCTTTTAACAAGTTCTCCATTGGCCCCTCTAATTATGGCTGAGCTGAAGCACTGTGGGGTTTTTTTTTTTTAATTTTTTTATTTCCTTCAGCCCCATGAGAGAACAAAAGCACCAGGTGTTTTCTTGAATGAACACATGAATATTTGTCGGCACGTCAGTCTGTCAATAACAAACCATCACCGTGTACCCTAGAGGAGTTGAAGAACAATTGCACGTGGCTGCAGGCCGAGTGCTACACTTGAACCAGCTGCTCTTTGTGCCAGTAAGAGAAGGCAGAACACTGAAAGAAGACTGATGCTTAAGTTTGTTTTAGTTGCTTGGAGATTGTTTGTTTGTTTTTGAATTGCTACTTTGCCTCCTATCGTGGCTGCAGCCATGGCCACATGAGAGCACTGTATTTATGGAAAGACCTTGCCTCCTGCCAGATTGCCTTATGAGGATTTCACTATTATGCACATTAACGATCCTGGTATCTGTTGTCTCCGTCTCTATCCATTTGTCCTCCATAATCGGGGCAGATGGAATATGACAGGAGTGGTGCAGGGTGAATGTAAATGAACAGTGGGCGAACCTTAAATCACTTGGTTTGGATGTTTCTCTGAGAAGTTACAAACCGAGCGGGTTATACCACCAGAATAGCCTGCCTTGAGGAAGAACAGTGCAGAGGTATGCACAATTAAAATGAAGCATTATCTCCATATCTCTCTGTCTCTATCCACTTACACGGTTTATTGTGTATTGGAGGACACAGGAGCAATTTTTTAAATGAGAAAATTGCTTTAGTTCAGTTTGATATTTTGAGGATCAATTCTTGTTTTAGCCCATTGTTGATGCATTGTAGAAAGAAATGCTTTCCAAAAAGCTGTTTTAGCATCTGTTTCTGTTAGATGATTTTATGAGAGGCTGCGTCAGCTAGGGTGAAGGCAGTTGTTACAATGGAAAAACATAGATTTATTTTCATATGAGGTACTTGTTCTACTAAAGAAGGTTCACATATAAGCCATCTGGCAATTGTCTTGCTGTGGAAATCTTTCTGATTTCCTCCCTCCCATTTCAGAGCATATACAATGCCTGTTGTGGCCTAAGAAACATCTAGCAAAATTAAAAATAAAGTAATTGATCCCAAGAGTCAAAGAACTTTAAACTGTATGACATAGAGATTGTTACATTCTTTCTTTGTTTTATCTGCACAGGATTCATTTGATAAATAAATACTAATTATATTGCAGCTAACATTAATGGGTGTTCTACGTCTAATCTCTCGCAGATGATGTTGAGAATGACCCTTTGCATGGGCTGGTGTCCTTTTCTTTTTCTTCTTTTCCTTTTCCTTTCCCCATTTATTTTAAGGAAAGCAGGAGGGTTTGGTGACGTTACCTAAAGGAGTTAAATAATCACTTGATGTATTCTCTGTGGGTACATATTTATAAAACGTTTCAGTATGTAGAAATGATTGGCTAGATCTTCAGCCCCGCTTAACATACCAGCAGTTCCCATTATGACACTTCAGGACAGATTTTTGAGAGAGCTCAGCATCCAGTATGCTCCCATCATGCTGAGTGCTTTTTAAAATCCGGCCCATAATAATGCAGCATTATGGTTCCCAGTAGGGGCTAGGGAATGGAGACTTGTTAACTGAACTTTTTCTGAAACTCAGTGGTTTACTTTGCTTTGGGTTGTTTTGCACAATGGTTCAGGTCAGGTTTCATTTCATCCCAATGGGCTCACTTAGCTCTAGTAGTAAGTGGTCCTGCATAGTTCAAAAGGGCAAACTTCATGTCCCAGGCTCTCTCGTTTTGGGCCCTCTGGTGATAGAATCCTCCGAACAGGATTCATAAGGAAGAAGAAGATAACCCTTATTTAGAGGGTTACCTAAAGGCAGGTGAGAGGGGATTAATTACCTGAATGTCCAGAGCTCCCAGCCATTGGAAGGCTCCGAAGGCTTGAGTACTCTTGTTCATGAGAGAGACCTTACTATTAGCGATTAAATCAAGCGATTAAAAAAGACAGATGCACTAAAGATTCATATGTCCCTTCATGCTTCAGCCACCATTCCAGAGGAAATACGTCCATGCTGATGACGGGTTCTGCTCGATAATGATCCAAAGCAGTGCGGACTGACGCATGTTCATTTTCATTATCTGAGTCAGATGCCACCAGCAGAAGGTTGATTTTCTTTTTTGGCGGTTCGGATTCTGTAGTTTCTGCATCGGAGTGTTGCTCTTTTAAGACTTCTGAAGTATGCTCCACACCTCGTCCCTCTCAGATTTTGGACAGCACTTAAGGTTTTTCAACTTTGGATTGGGTGCTATAGCTATCTTTAGAAATCTCACATTTGTACCTTATTTGCGTTTTGTCAAATCTGCTGTGAAAGTGTTCTTAAAATGAACATGTGCTGGGTCATCATCGGAGACTGCTGTAACATGAAATATACATGTCAAAATGTGGGTAAAACAGAGTAGAAGACATACAATTCTCTCCCAAGGAGTTGTCACAAATTTAATTAATGCATTATTTTTTTAACGAGTGTCATCAGCATGGAAGCATGTCCTCTGGAATGGTGGCTGAAGCATGAAGAGGCATAGGAATCTTTAGTGCATCTGGCACTTAAATATCTTGCAACGCCAGCTACAGCAGTGCCATGTGAACACCTGTTCTCACTTCCAGGTGACATTGTAAATAAGGAGAGGGCAGCATTTTCCCATAAATGTAAACTAACTTGTTTCTCTTCACGATTGGCTGAACGAGAAGTAGGGCTGAGTGGACTTGTAGGCTCTGAGGTTTTACATTCTGTTGTTTTTGAGTGCAGATATGTAACAAAAAATCTACATTTGTAAGTTGCACTTTCACAATAAAGAGATTGCACTACAGTACTTGTCTGAGGTGAATTGAAAATACTATTTCTTTTGTTTATCATTTTTAGAGTGCAAATATTTGTAATAAATAATATAAAGTGAGCACTGTACACTTTCTATAATCTGATGTAATTGAAATCAATATATTTGAAAATGTAGACAAAATCCAAAAATAGTTAATAAATTTCAATTGGTATTCTGTTGTTCAACAGTGCGATTAAAACTGCAATTAATAGCAACTAATTTTTTAAATTTGATTAATTTGTTTAATCACATGAGTTAACTGCGATTAATCAACAGTCCTACTTATTATATATCGCCTTGGTTTACATCCTGTGATGAATGTATTAAGATTGGATAGGATCAAAGGCAGCATTAATTTAATATCTGCTGTGTCTCACTGGGACACTATATCCTGCCTTTGCAGGGGAACAGATTTAATTATCTGAAAGATCTCTTCCATTTCTGACTACTTTAATCCTGTTCATCATGCTCCTGTTCACAAACTCAGGTGTAGCTGTTCATGTAACATAAACCTGCGAGTTGTCAGTAAAGAACTTGGCTGCAGAGTGAAAACATCCCGGCTCCAGCACAGAGAAAAATAGCTAAATAAATGTTTAGCCATAAAAGTAAAGCAATTAATGCTGAAACACTGCGAGGTACTTATGGAACTGCATAAAAACTCACGTACAGATGTGAAGTGCAGAGACGCCAGTTCAAGTTGACACTCGAGTAGAATGTTCCCAAGGAAGAGAAAATGCATAAGAAAGCCAGCAAAGAGCATTGCAAACATTTACTAAAGCTGTTTGACCATAGATCACTAAATTCCCTTTCCTTCTGGCAAATCCCAAAAACCAAATAGAAGAAACACACTAGTGCAGCTTAAGAAAGGCAAACTAAATCAGAATGGAGGCTTTACTTTGAATTATAAAGTCAGAGGCTTTTGCCATGTTGAAAGAACATTTGAAAAATAAATATACCAAAAAAGAAGTCTGTCTCTTTGTAATTCTGTCTCTGTCTCTCTCATCCCTGGTTTACCCAACTGTAGTTAACTCTACCTCTTAGTTAGCCATATTCCCTGAGGTTCCTTAGAGGGAAATTTTCCGCAGTTGCGCTGGCTATATTTGGAGACCGGAGACTAGACTAGATGGACCACGGGTCCGATCCAGTGTGGCAATTTCTATGTTCCTAAAGCACGAGGGCCTATGCCTGTAATGTAGAGCAGAGGTGGTCATGGGGTCTGCAAGAATATGCAACTTTACACAGTCATAAAGCTTGATAAATTGCCCTTTACGATATTTTACATGTGTGCTCAGCTTCCAACACTGCAGCGTGCATCCTGTTAACCCAATTTCCTTTTGTGTCTTTTCATGCGACAGGTGCAAAGAGCTGAAATATGCAAAGGATCTGCCCCAGATTTCCATTATTTTCATCTTTGTGAATGAAGCGTTGTCAGTGATCCTGCGGTCAGTGCACAGCGCTGTTAATCACACGCCAGCCCACCTCCTGAAAGAGATTATCCTTGTGGACGACAACAGCGATGAAGGTAAGGTAGGCGGAGCTCTTTAAGAAGGAGCACTTGATCCCCAAAAGATCCAGTGGGACATTTGTTTTTTCCCCTTGGGGAGTAAAACCACATAAAGAAGTTCAATGTGATAGGAGGACAGTGGCTTTGTGATGTGAAGAGCTGCATGCCTTGGAAGATCAGGTGCTGTTCAGCATACAGTTCTTCCCACCCCTCGGTCAGCGTCCATTCCATCAGCTGCAGTGGTATAAGCGGAACCAAAATCAAACCTCAAATTAGACTTCTAAATCAATTTGCAAGCAATCTGTATTTCAGGAGAATAAAAGGAACTATCTCTGTGCATTGGAAGGAGGCTAATTAATGAGCATTAATTAATTATTATTATTACGTGCGCACTGTCAAACACATAGTAAGAGGCAGTCCCTGCCCCCAAAAGCTTAAGCTCAGATGCTCAAAAGTACATGGGAGCCTAACACCCATTGATTTCAATGAGAATTAGGCTCCGAAATACCTTTGAGGATCTGAGCCTTACAGTCTAAATGTGGTAGTATGATCTTATGCATTGAACACCGGCCTGGGACTCAGGAGACTGGGGTTCTACTCCTGGCTCTGCCACTGGCCTTGTGAATGACCTTGGAAAAGCCATGTCCCTTCCCTGTGCCTCAGTTTTCCCATCAGTGAATTGGGGATAATGATACCGACCTCCATTTGTAAAGCACTTGGGGACTTATGGATGAAAAGCACTGCATAAGAGCTAGGTGTTGTTGTTAATAGTAATAATAATAAACACACAGGCAAAGGGTAGAAGAGGAAACAGAGAGGAAGTGATCTGCCTGAGATTATGCAGCAGATCAGAGAACAGAGCCTAGGTTTCTTGTGTCCCATCCATGCGACCGATTTGTTCTCAATTTCTCTTGATACACTTTCTCTTCCTGCCTTTGACATTCTGAGTCTATCTGGATTTTGAGTTTTTATGGGGGTTCTATGCTGGTATTTTCAAAGTCCAAATTATTCCTCCACCCTGATTCTAATTATACAAATTATAAAAATAGAAAACAATCAGCGTTCAATTTTTATAAATTTATTGTTGTTTTTTTTAAAACCTTAATGAATACCAACAAAGGGTTAAATCATCAGTATCTGTTGCATAGGCTGAAATAATACAAATAATTATGGGCTCTACATCCTGTGATACAACTGGAAGTGAAGAACCAGGGGGATGATAGCTGATTTTTCATTCCAAAGAAGGCTGAGAGGTTGCATTTAAGATGTGACAAGATAAAACTGGACTAAAGCAAGCATCTCAAGCCTGTAAAAATAGGCACTACAGTAATAAGCACCACAGAAAACTGATGAATTTTAATAATTGCTTGGGGGAGGGGAACTATGGTCAGAACCTCAGCTGATGGAAATCATCATAGCTTCATTGAAGTCAACAAAAATCATTGGTAATTTACACAAGCTGGGCATTTCTCTCCTCATCTGACCAGTAAAGAAAGGTGAAGGTGATTTGTGTTTGCAGTCTTTGGTATATCCTCTTTTTACAGGGGGTGAAAATTCTTTGAAAATCTCAAAATGAAATCCTGCACATACCCCACTAAGTTACACTGCATTGGCTGGATAAAGAGTGAAGTATGGCTTAAAGGAGAACCCATGTGTATTAATTATTTATCTTCAATAGTCCCTGCCTTGTGCAAAGAAATATGCATCTAAACAGTCTCTGTCAGCCACTCAGTATGCAGCACTGAAGCTAATATTGTAACAAATGCTATTGGTAAGCTCTGGAGACACTTATGAAAGGAGTAGGACAACGAAATGAATCCTTTTAAAAACCGTTGCTCCCTTGAATAGCAGAGACCGCAGCTGGCAATGAGAATAGAAAATTAATAACTCTCATTCTTTATCTGCTGCTGAGATTAAAAGGCACCATCTTCACTGGCATCTGCTCTGAGGAAGACTCTGCTAGCTCACGCAGTGCTTTCTGTGCGCAGGTCAGAGGGTGGATAGAAACCTGAGTGTTGTTCAATACGTGGGGGGAATGGTGGGGGGAGGCACAGACTGAGTTTGGTTAACTTTAGTGTCCCTAAGAGCTTTAGAAAGTGTTGGCTTGTTTCACTGTACATTTTTGCTGCTTTGTCAAAGCACTCCGATTTACCTCAGAGCCCTTTGCAGCATCCCTCAGCCGGTGTCACAACGGTAAGCCAGATAACCTTGACTCTGCCTTCCTGCAAGATGCCAAAATGATAATAAATTATACAAAGCAACGTACATACCAGAGCTCCACAAACCACAGTACTGATACATACCCAAGAGGCCTCAGTGATAGAAAATAGTTACTCATAGTAAGAACAACATCTTAGGGTTCACTCTTCTAATATTACAAACAAATGGATTTTATAAAATGAGTAAGGTTCTGACAGGGAAATAATTCCACATTCTAAACTACAGGTTATAGAGAATAATGATTAATTCTCCAGGAATCCTAGGAGTAAACAGAGGTCAGAGTTAAAGTTTTCAGGGTATGACTTTGTGGTTGAGTATGGCTGGTTTGTTGTTGATGCTTATGAATGGGCAGACTGTATTTCTGAGGGGCTGTGTGAGAAGACGACTTGTAGGTATGCGGCTTTAATCTCTGACCTAGAGATCTTGGATGCCAAACTTCAGATACCTGAAAAGAACCTGATTTTCACAGGGCAGATGCTCTGAACTTCCTGAAAATCAGGACCCTTTCAGTTATATCCAGCTGGGCACTCAAAAACTGAGGAATCTAAAATCACTAGTGGCCTTTGAAAAGTTAGGGTTCTTCTTTCTGGTTTTCATATTTTGGAGGTGTATGTGTGTCTCTGTATAAAATACAAAAACCCCTGCATAACTACATTAAAATGGAGTTGAGGTTGAGAGTATATCTCAGTAATTTAAGAATAAAAGACCTTACAGGGATGTTTTAATTATCCCCAAATCAAGAATAACAACACCCAGGAAACTGAGAATTAAGATTACATTTAAAAGAAATCCCAACATGAAAAGGTAAGAAACACACAGTTCAGGCACTCAAGCATCCTTAACTCTGCCTTATAGGTACACCATCTAATGGTTTGATGTTTGTGGTTCCAGATTAGAATAAACTGATTTTTAAAGGCACATTAGATTTTTCTTCCTCCTTGCATTACTACACGGTGATATATACAATAAACATCGCAAACATAAAATTATACAAATGTATTACAGAGATGTATTGAATGTAACAATTCTTAATCGGTAGACCTGAATTGTAAACATAGACAGAAACTCAAATGTACTGCAACAAAATGTTACTCCCCTAAAGGCAAATGCTGAGAGAGTTTCAGTTTTGAAACTTTTCCCCATTGAAAGTCATACTATACTTTTATGTAAAGACTTGTTTTGTACTTGCCTTTGGTTTTTTGTTGCGCTGGTTTATAATTGCAAAGACGCTACACCGCTTGTGTTTCTGAGTGATAACACATTTCCTAGGTCGCTGGAGGCATACAGAATATGCCCCTGAGACAATATGCTATCTCACAGTCACACAACTTGTCTGAGACTGTTGCTTAAGCATCGCCTGCCTTTCTGCAGTCTCTCTGTAAGTGTTTTTAATCTGGAATAATATCTGTTTGAAAAGAAAACCTCATACTATAAAAGAAAACTCCAAGATAAAAGGCTACTTAAAATACCTAGGTACATTCAGTGATCCATGTGACTGGTTGTAATTTACTTCAGCATAACAATATTCCCTGTGACTGGATATATCATTATCTTGCTCCTCAGCTCATTTCAGCAATAACAATGCTTCCTATGTGTTCTCTTGGGAGCTGACTGTTTTACGGGTTTGGAAGAAGAACGCATTAAAAAGGGGAAGGTTTTAATAGACTTACATGAAGGTAAGAGCCTTCCAAGTCTTGTTAGGCATCAAAGTTGCCTTAGCCAACACAAATCCCAAGGTACCTCAAATCTTCTAATTAATAAGTTGTTTAATTACAGCTAGTATTATGCTGGCTAGATTGTGGCCAGGTTAGAATTGTGCAGACCTGACCAATGTTTGGTTTTATCTCTCTGGGTTTTGCTGTGTGTTGGGGTCTATTGAACCCACGGCGTGGTGCATAATGCAGCCTAAGTCACCACATTTTGCACAGTTTTATCCATATGTTATAATTCGCTCGCTGGCAGCTGCTTCCCTTCCCTTAGCTTCACCTAAAAGGTACACGACTAAATGTGGAAACTCACAGAGTTTTGCCCATTTCCAAGTCTTGTTACAAAAGTCCCCCCCCTAACTCTAGTTCAGCGATAGGCCAGCCTAATCAATTATATGACCCTTCTTGTCCACTGTGTCTACTGTTCCTCTGTGCTTCTTGCACATTACTTTGCCTGAAAATCAAACCAATATCCTCATAGCCAAAATATTCGGTGCTAGCAGATGAGCCAGAAGTAACCTTCTCAAATGCCTGTGTAGCTGGCCAAGCCTTCAGTATTATCAATTCCAGTTGATAGTATAACTGATATCAGTTGGGCGGTAACAGCTGGAGACCATGGGGTTGCCAAAAGCTTTGGTGGCACAATAAAATTGCCAATGACAAACATAACCTGAATATTCAGCCAGACCATTTTTTTAACAGAGCAGCAGATATATTGTTTCTAGGGCTTCCAACTCCTGGGACTCATCTTCCACTAAAGATTAATTGAGACAGATAGGAATCAAGAGATCATTGAAATGGAGTCTACTGGCATATTTACCAGGAGTGTCCTTTACCTTTACCTTGAAGTTGCTCATGAAATGTGAAATACCAAAAATTCAAAAATACTAATATTTATTACCTCCAACTTAAACGTGATTTAAAAAACACGTGGATGTGAGCTGAAAGAGAATCCATCCAGCCCTCTTCAAAGGGAAGAGGGGAATGGGCACCAATGTGGAGAATAGGGTTAGAATTGAGAAAGAATGGAGATGAATACTCTGAACTCCATCACAGTGTCGATTTTGTTTCAAACTACCCATCTGTAAGGGG